GTGTTATGTTGTTAGAGGCGACTGTCTTGAGACTTCTCCTCTGGCTTCCTAAAGCTGCGAGGCTTTACAGCAGCGGATGTCCTCATTGATGGCAGCACAGATGCTTGGATTTTGCAGTCTGAGGAGTCTGGGTTCGTAGAAAGCACTGTAGCTCCAAGATCCTTATGCACGCCCAGCCCCACTCGAGCTTCCCACAATGGAAGATGGCCTGCAAGTGCCAGCACCGACAGTGAACATTGGGAGGCAGACCGGTCCTGGCTCCTGCTTTGAAAGCTGTAAGGCTGCAAGCAGCACGAAATCAAAAGCTCATGAGTCTGCGAGTGCAGACCCTGCAAGCCTCAAGCATCTGTGAAAAAATTCCAAGCCATCTCAAGCCTAAGACCCCTGAACTTGAAATTCCCCATCCCAGAATTCCCTGCAGCCCAGGATGGAGGGTCTGGTGCGCAGCAGCTTCCGTGCTTGGCGCGCGGTCCAGGCCAAGCGGAGCCATGGAGTGCTTCTAAAAGTAAGATCACGATCATGGCTGCGTGGTAGACAAGAATGATGGTGACAAGCAGCGGAGAAGAGCCTTAGGTCCTTGGGGCTGCGGAAGCAGTTTGCCTTTGCCATCTTGCAGGCTCAGAAGTGTGAGGCTTCCACCGAGACCCGAAACTGCAGCAACTTCAACAATCCGCCACCAATGGCATAATCCAAAGAATCCCGAGCCTGCAGAAACCATGCCTTCTGCCTCAAATCTCTCAGATGCGCGAATGGTCTGAGCAGTCAGAGGCCCTGGCCGCCAGGCACTGTCCATGGGTTTAAAACTGTGCGTTGGGTTCGGGCGAGAGAGTGGAGGGCCTTGACTTAGACTTGGGCGCTTGCCGTTGCGGGAGGGTTTCAGGTCGAAAGGGGCATGAAGCTGTCTTTCGGTTGGAGGGGGTTGATTCTTGATTGTTGTAGTTGTAGGCTTCTGCGTTTGTTGGAGGTATTGCCGGCAACTGATGCTGGGTCTATAGGTCATAGGTCTGTTCGCGTTGCGGTCTCGAGTTCTACATCTTTTCGAGCATTGGATCAGTAATCTTCATGATGATGGATTATTCTGTGCGACTCTATACGTCAGCATCCCAGCATATCTATCTAGCGTTTGCATGGGGGCAGCATACATTAGCTCGTTCTAGGAACGGATAGCAAGCACTATTTCTCTGCAGTGTAGGTTGGGATGCACTATGTCACTATGCTTTTCAAGTCACAACACCGCAGGAGACCCCCCCTCCCCCTGCGAGACCCCCCCCCACCTGTTTCTAACCCCGCTGTTTGTAGGTCGGAGCTTCTGGAGCTGCAGAAGCGGCTTGACGAGAGCGCCTGCCAGCAGGCGAAGTTGGAGATTCCTGGGATCCAGAAGCAGGAAGCAGTGTCTCTTTTTTGGGTGTCTGTAGGGCTTAGTGCTTAGCAGGTCCCGTTTCGATTATGCAAAGTGTGGGATGCGTGGGATCTTTCTTATGCATAGAATAGGTGGCGCACAAAAGGGGATTAAGTGCCGTGCGGTTTGGGTACTCAAGATTTTTGAGAGCAGGGTATCCCGGCTTTGGCTCTTGAAACACTATCCGTCCCACCTGGCGCGAGCCGCGCAATAAAATCAAGGCAGGATGTTGCCAGGACGTTGAGCCTGCCACCAGGTCTGCCGAGTTCGAACCAGAATAGTTCTACTCAACAGTCCGAATCTGTTGCTGGCTTACACACAGGCGCTGATGGCTGCGGCAGCGCCGGCTCAGGCAGACAAATTTGGAAAGTGTGGAAAGCATATGCTCCTCGATGGGTTTGTTTGCGACCCACATGCTTCGTTACGACGAGTTGGGGATTGGAATCTGGCGCAGCTCAGTTTGTTCATGTGAGGTGGCAGCGTTGAAATCGGGGTTGATCCGTTCCCAGTTGGCTATGGTGCACTCCCTCAAATGCGAAGCGCGGCCATGTCCTGGAGAACAGTCAGGTATACGCGAATGCTTCCCAAGCCAGGAAAGCAGCTTCAGCATGAACCTTCTGTAAGCTTTTCCTGCGAAGAGTTGATTGCCCTTGAAGAGTTAAAGACTTGAAGTGAAGGGTGTTTGAAGCATTTGGTTAGGCCCTTGCTGTGTCACCTCTCGATGCTGCTGATCCTGCCGAGAGCCTTTGTTGGGCGCGGCAAGCGGAGGCCACGAGACCCACTTTAATCTTTCTGGTTTGCATGTGTTTGTTCTGATCCCGTTTACCGTTTACTGGTATGCTTCCTTGATTTTTGACCGCTGCACCGTGTAAGCTCTTGCTTACGCTGGCTTAGCTGGATCTGCACTTGAATTTCTCGGTGGAGAGTTTGCAGTATTGAGGTTGCAACGCTCAGTATCGCACATCGCTGTTTGGTTATCGTCACAAGTTCGGTCCACAGCTTAGTCCTTGCCTTGCGGTCTGAATTCTCAATGGCTGACGCTCCATACCCCCCACAGAAGTACGTGAGGATGTTCTCGAAAAGCTGGATGCCTCATGTTTGCGGGTCACCTCATAAGGTTGTTGAATTAGGAGAGGTGGTTCAGGTTTAGGTTTGAAAGACTCCATTCAAAGGGTGCCCTGAAGCCAGGTTGCCCAGCGGGTCATTGCCTCTCTGCTCTCTAGCCGCATCGAGGCATCGGACTCACTTGGGGCGCCGGATCCGGGGGCCGGGGTCGGGTTTCTCGTTGGGTCTGGGGATGTTCTGGGGCAGGGAAATGCCTGCCATGGCTTCGAGATTTAGAAGCCTTGGCAGCAGTGGCAAGCATGGTCTTCAACCTTAAGCTGTAGGCTAGCCCTGAACCGCAAGCGTACCTCATGCATTTAAGCCTGGGCGCCACTCTGGTGGCACAAGTTGACGCAGTGCAGAGAGCTGTTGATGTGGTTGTTAGCACCAGGGCTATTATCAGCCAATTTACATCGAGTATTCTCGATTTTGGGATGGCGGGCTTTGTGCGAGAGCGTTGCAAGGCAGCCCTAAAGGCCGCCTTCTCCGCATGGCAGGCGGCACAGGTCCGAGAATGAAGCCATAATTATTAGGAAATCCTTGAGGGTGTACGGAGTTGAAGATTCGGGGAGTTGAGGGTTTAGAGCTTCGGGCCCGTTGCTGTGGGTTCAGGCTTGCATAGGCATGTTTGTTTGCATGCAAAGAAAGATGTAGGTTGCAGGCGTTGCAAGCGGGTTCTTTGCAACAAACCGATTTGCCATGTCTGTTGTAGGACTCCGTGAGGTCATTCAAGTGTTCAGGCTGTAGGGGTCTCTGCAAAGCCCTGCAAACAACCCGGAGCCGGTATTTTGGTTTGCCTTGGGGCAGGCTATGGCGCTGGAGTCTGCCCAAGCAGGGCATGAAGCGGAGCAGCTTAGGCCTTATGAATTTCAGATGCCGTCTAATTCTTCTTCATCATCTTGATCATGATGCCGGTAGTTGCTGTGTGTTGTGGACCATTAGTGTTGCACGGTCTCAACCTCTACTGGTCGCGGTGAAAGCCCTTCACAGCGCTCTGAAGAGGCTGCTGCTGCGATCCGCACAGAGCGACCTCACTGCCTCGCAGGACTGGTCATGTTTTGTCAGGGCGCACTGTCCCAGCTATTCCTCACAGCAGGTGAAGAAATGTGGTCAAGTCGTGATTTGTGCAGCAAGCTTTCAAAGCAAGCTGCGCAGTTGCTGTATATACGAAGAATGGCCAGCTGTCCATGCGCAAGGCTGCAGTGCCACACAATAGCAGGAGCTGTCCACCGCTCGCGCTGACGAGGCTGGCTTTGAGAAGAAAGGTTCCAGCCATCATGATGAGATACAGGCAGGCAGAAAGTACAAAGAACGTGAAGTCCTCGAATCTTTTGGGCCGGGGGCACCGACAGAGACTCAAGGGTTGGCGACGTCGACCTTCCACATGTCTGGCTCAAAATCCCAGGTGAAATTCTAGGAAAGGACGAGTAGAGACACAGAGAGCCATGAGGATTCCTTTGAGGTCCAGACCTCAGGAGCTTTGCTGTGGCTGCGGGCTCTGCTTGGGTATGGGGCATTCACTTTCAGGTACTCGCCGCATGCGGGACATACTTCTTGCTACGGCTGTACCGGCAGTGTGCAAGATGCCTTCACGAGTAGAGCAGCTGGAACAAAGCCCGCGTTTGTGGGTGAGAATTCCTGAAGAAAAGGTAACAATTTAGCAACACCCTTTCGAAGTGGCCCTAAGGGCATCTGAAGCCCTCAGCGCTGAAGCTCAAATGGGTTTCACGAACAGATCGAGCGACTTTATACTTTCTGTTTGAGGCAACACTGGCGGATACCCTCTCTGATGCCATGCGATTTACTAAAGCACTTGCAAGTTTTCGTTCGTGATATCAGGGTCTACAAAATGCAGTCCAGCTGTATGGACTTGGCAGCTCTTAGGTTGAGCGTGAATTCTTTTGTCGAGGTTCTCCAAGCATGGACAGCCAAGGAGGACATAGGTGGATGCTGATCCTGATAATACTGATCTGTAGTCCTGTAGAGGATTTCCAGGCCTTATACTCCCCAGAATTCTGACATGTCGGACATAACCGGGGGTGTTGAAGCGTCAAGACTATCCTGATCCCTCCTCCTGCCAGGTTATCAATGCTCCTTGGCGCAGCCGCAACCGCTGCTGCGCTGCCAAACTTTCCGCCTTCCTGGGGCGCCGCGCCCCTACTCACCACCATACACGGATGCTTCATGATGTTACTGGAGGTCTCTTTTGCTTCGATTGTGGCTGCACATTGCGGCATCTGTTGGCATCTGTTTCCTGATGCCAAGCCAGTTTTTGTTGGTGGCTGTGTGCTTTGCTTCTGGAATCGAGATCTTGAGTCCACACTTGTTACGTTTCCAATACTTTGCGCATCCCTTGAACAGTCATAGCATTCCTTCCTGGCTCGTAGATCAGTCCTGGTTGTCACTGCTACCCATTGCATGGTAGGGACGGAGTACAGGCTTGCATGCCTCCAGCTGCCAATATTCAGCCACACTGACTGAGTCCCCACCGGAAATCATGACGCAGGGCCCTCAGATCGGGGTCCGCTTTGCCAACCCAAACTCCAAATAATTACTGGCCATGAAACAAGCGCCCATGTGACTGGGCTTTGGGTCCAGGCTGGGAGACATCAGAATTGTCAAGCAGGGTTGTTGTTTGAGGGTGCGCCGCTGAGCTAAGCAGCTTATGCCGCTTGTAAAACGCATACTCACATACTCGTCTTGCCTAAATTATCTCCCTGCTCTGCGCATGGGTATCAAAGCTTGCGAGGAAAAGCGGATGCTAGTCCTTGCTGAAGATGAGCGCGTGGGCACTGCCAAACGAGGATGGACTATGGGCCGCTAGCAGGCGGCTATGGCCACGGGTCCAGCTCGCTGTCGCATTGGATCTATCAAAACATGCAGGAGGAGAGTGGCCCCTTGCAGCAGCAGGTCATGCATCTTATTTACCCAGCAAATTGCAGTCGGCAAAGCAATAACAAGAGAAGCTGTAAAGATAATCATTGTGGTTTGGTCTTCATCATCATGGGCCGTTAGCTGCAGTAATGACTGATCTTGATAGAGGTGTTTTGTAGCGTGGCGAGGCAAGGTCTTTCATGGGCATGTTAAAGTGAGTTGGGCTTGCTCAACTGAAGAGTTCCCCTTCGTGGACTAAGAAGGTTGTCTTGATTTGCACGCACCAGCTGAATGCTCATCACAAAGCTGTCAGCCGCAACCTGCGGAGGCTTCAGAGCCATGAGTTTCAGTTATTCGACAAACGAGCCAGGGCCTAGAACAGTCTGTTGAGCTCCTGCATTGAACTCTAGCCGTGAGAAGCAGCCCATGTTCGGGACTCCCAGAGATGAGATCTAAACTGGAACGTGCGGCATCTGTTCATGACCTCTCCAGGCCTCGACTGCTTGTTTTGGTTCAAGCTGCCTGCCAACATTCTGAAAGCAACTCCAACCAGGAAAAGCACGCACGGCTTTCCAGGACATCTCAGCCGGGAAAGCGCAGTTCCCCCCAGACTTTGGGCCTCCACCAGAGGCGACGGTCTTTTTTGTTGGGACCAGTCAGCGCCTTGCAATCTGGAGTTTGTTCATCTATGACAACAGGTGGGGTTTCTCTGCTCCTGCCATGGGCTCCAATGTTGGTTGCCCGTTGTGGCAGGTTGTGGCAGGATGTTCCCGCTCTAGTGCCCCAAGAGTTGTAGCGACCACAGAACTAAAGCACAAAGATCGCGGCACAGCTAGCAAGCAATCCCTGATGAGCACTTCAAGTATTTAAATCTTCTGCTGCGTAGCTTGGCATTGCTGCAAGGACCCTCTCATTTTCCAGTCCTTGAAACATGTTCGCATGGCAACCATGAATTCCCGAAAGTCCCTCACTCTCAAAACACAGAAGCGTGCTGCTTTAAGTCCTGCCATGCTACACTTGTCGGGGTGGCCAGGTGGAAGATGGGATCCTTTCATAGTGCAGCCTCAAGGAATACATACCTGTGGTATATGCATCAAACGGCAACACCGAAATGTGGGATCCCCAGCCCTGTCACATTATGCTTAGCTCTATACTGGTCTTTGGTTAGCTAGGAATGAAGGAATGGACTCTTGTATTAGTTATATTAGCCCATATCTAAGCCATTATAGTAGTTTCCAATTTCTTTGGCCAGAATAGGGTATATATAGGATTTAGGGTTTAGGCTTTGCCCAGCTTTCTTTGAGGGGCTCAGGGGGTGCCAATCCGCAGGCGCAGACCCGAGACCTTCGACCCCTGCCCTTCGGCTACGGCTTCGGCTCTGGGACTATGGCCAAATGGCTGGCAAAGAAAGCCAAGGAGCTAGGAAAAGATGCAAAACACATGTGCTTCGATAGGTTGTGTAGTAGTCATCGGGGTTCCCTTCAAGCTAAGAATGTGGGTCTTCTGAAGGGACATGCAACCTAGAGTCCGCCATGGCGATTGCGGTTCTGAGTTTCCAGAATGTTGGGGGCTTGTGCCCTAATTTGGGACACTGTGCACGGAAGCTTGATGCTGGGGGTCTCTGGGTTTGTGGGCTCTTTCGAACTTCAGCAATCGTGCTGACTAGAGTGAAGTATGAGGTTGCATTTCCCAGTTTGAGCAGCTCTGTGGTGAAACACCCGAATTGGTGGGTTCCGTTCTCCGAGCCCGGTTTTGGTGTGGTAGCGGCCGGATCACGTGCAGGAAGTTTACGACGAGAGCCCAGAAGAGTTTGAGGGCATCCGCGCCTCACTGGAGTCCGTGCTGCACAGAGCCAATGCGTTTTCCACTTGTACAACAGGGTGTCCGCCTTGGTTGAGTCCTAGAATGCGCCACCTAGTTGGGATGCTTCAGGCAGCCTGCTGCCAGCCTGCATGTGGCTGAAAAGCGAGGACATGGCGCATTACATACCAAAGCCGTATTGTAGTTGGCTCTGGCTACTGAAAGAAATTGCGGGCTGGAATCCTGAAGGGTTCCTAGCCACACATGCGTGTTTCTCACAATGCAGGCAAAGAGTGCTCCTGGAACCTTCAACTTCCTTGTCATAGAGGCCACCAAACCTATAAAGGAGCCTTTGATTCGGAGAAACTGCTTTCATGAAATTTCAAGCTGAAGAGACATGCTTATGGCACTCAGGAGAGGGGCGGACGACGAGACCTGAGACCGATGGAAGTGATTCAGTGAAGTCGGGTATTCAGCAAGGGGCCCCCAAAAGCCTTGGAAGGATGACCAAATGATTTGGGTATTTTCGACAGCATTTTAGATAATATGTGTCCACAGCACTTAAGCTTTACTCAGTGTTGTGTTTCAGGACGTCGCAAGCGTTCGCAATCAGCGGTAGCTTGAGCCGATTTGGCAACAGCCCGCTCCAAAGGGGCGGCCCACATGCACCAAGAGCCCTTTGAAGAGGCCAACAGAGTCTTGTCCTACCATATACTGAATACCAGAACACATATCAAGGAGACAGAATGATCCACCATTGCGCTTCTGACAACTTCTGGGGTCAACCTCTCCACAGCTTGTACAGGGAGAGAAGAGTGCAGAGCGTTGTCAAGAGCCCGCGGGCTGTGCGATTGTGAAGATGTGCACCCTGGTTCAGACTTTAAGGAGTTTCGAACTATGATGCCTGACAAACGCCTCCAAAGATGGCATCTGCTGTCCTCCAGGTCAACGCCTTTGTTGCTTGTCAGGCGACCAATCTCGAATAGTTTTGATCGAAGATCTCAGAGGCACACAGGAAACTCCACAGGACCTTGATCCACGACCGTAACATCTCTCAGAAATGCAGACAAACACCAGCTCCACAGCACCCAGCTAAGTGCCAGTAGGCTCGCGGCACTTCTAGCCTACATGCGCTGCAATTCCAAAAGAATTGGGCAGGTCCAGCTGAACAAAGGTTTTGACAGACCTTTTCTCGTTAAGTCTACACCTTTGAGCCCCAGTCCAGCCCCAAACCACCCAAAGCCTATCGAGCCGCTGACCGATCTTGTGTCAGCATACCAGGGTCGGAACAAAGACCGGTCGGAAAGGCAAGGATGCTGTTTTCTAAGTGCAGGTGCAAGCTTTGACCGCATCTCTGGCTGCGGCGCGTTCGGAACTTCAAGCGGCAGCTGCAAGGAATCTTTGACTGTTTTTGTCACTTGGGGTCTGTGTCCAAGTAAAATGTGCGAGCGGTTGCAGTACATGGCTACTATGTGCCACGGCAAAAAACGCAGTGGGTTTCCATTTGCATGCAGCAATGAAGTAATATAGGCATACCCCAGGCAGTGCTAAATCTCACCTTCTAATTTTGCGGGAGCGCAGAATGAGAACTACAGATGGCAGACTCAACTTGGCTGAGGGTTGTAGAACGTTTCCATAGTTAAGTGTCCTTGTCTGTGGTAAGATATGGGATTCTGTAGTCAAGCCTGGCAGGCATTCTTAGCAGAATGGTCTGCTTTGCTGCTTCTTTCGGTCCAATACTGAATTTCCTTGATGGACTCTGCCCCCGGCAAGCTTTCAGTTACTCGTACTGCGGTTGCACGGAAATCCTGAATGCGTGTGGCTGCAACCAGAAAAGGTTGATATCACCCGTTCGAATCATTAGCCTGGCGGTGCCGACCAAACTCACAGCGGGCCACTTAAGATCCTGCACCCCTACTTGACAAGCGCAAGCCCACACTCAAACAGAACAGCAGATATAGTTGAAGTAGTACCGCATCCTCCAGTGGTGGGAATGCTTCCAATCGCAGTAATCCTCTACGTCAATTTGCGCAAAGGAGTTCCGAGCGGAGCAACCAGAAGGCTGGGAGATGCAGGGAATCACACTCAGAAGATCTGAGAAGGTTCCGCAACTGAGCGGGAACAAAAACCACAAGGCTAAGTCTAGACGTCCAATAACTTCTTTGACGTAAGATGCGGCCGCAAGAGTTCGCATCGCGAACAGAATTTGATTTGGACTGCAGGTTACATCGCTGTGGCTGGGGCATGTCCTGCGGCTTATATGAGCATGTTTCAAAAGCGTCAGATCCATGAGATTAGCCCAAAATTGCAGCAACTTCAAGCATTAGATGTGGGTTAATCTTGAGGATAGAACAGGACTTTTCAGCTGTGACCACATAATGTGATCTCCAGTGCGAGAGTCTTTTGTTGGAAGCAGGTGGCGCAGGAGACAGACGCTACTGCGGCGGCTGCCCCTGTGGTGCGCCTGCGCATCTTTGTAATCTTTCGGAGGTTGGGTTTTTAAAGACGCACGCAAATAGATGTGTAGAAGAGTGCCTGGAAGATGCGAGGTTGATAGCAATTTATACATGGATGAGAAGCTAGCAGGAACAGAAGGAATCTTCTGTGCTGCTGTTCTTGTGGGATCTCAAAATCAAGCCTTTAACCTGCTAAGAAGCAAGAATTTGGAATTTGGTGTGTGAAGAGCGCCCAGACCGAAAGCTTAGAGCGGAGACATCCTCTACACGGCGGAGTGCAGGATTACGTGCTATATTTGTACTGAGCTTATGCTTCCAGGCACCCTTGAAGAGCCAGGCAACATCTTATTCATCCGCTGCTGCTCAGGGGCTACCCCATGATCAAGACCGCACCGGGCCCACTCTGACAAGCTCGGCATTTACACAAGTATGTCTTCACGACGCAAACTCCAAACTTGGCGAGCCTTGCCATTCTCCATGCATGGAGCAGGGCCTTTGCTGTTGACGCAGGTACTTATGCGGTGCTTTAACGGCTGGTACCAGAGAGTTGCAAGTCGACGCGAGAAGCTCCTGAGGCCAAGATTTAAGAAGCGCGAGCTGAGCATTTCGTTGAGGATGTAGTTCTTGAGCGTGCGGATGTCTCTTCTTTACAGGTACCCCTTTAAAGCAACTACTTGTGATGGCACTTGAGATCACAAGTTGCAAGTCACTACGGCTCCAACCAAGAACCATATCAGGGGTGTCGTGCACTGTGATCCTTTGCCGGGAGTCGGAAGGCAAGCAGCCTAGGTTTTGAAGGAGATGACCTTTGTTTTGAGACAAAACAAGCTTCCTTATCTTCACCACATCCGCTTCCTCCATCAAGTACCTAAGTTGTACCAGGCGTGTGCTGAGCTCATGGGCCGCATCGGCACACGCTGCCCGTGCGTCGAGAGAACTTTCCGGAGATGGAGGACTGTTCAACGGCAAGGTCGGTGCTAGAAAAAGAGGAAAGCCTCACAGCCAAACCACCAACTCCGCGGGCAGTCTGCAGGCATACACATCGGTTTTGTTCGGAGTCGGCTGTGCCAGGCCAAGTAAGAATTGGCAACTGGAGCACTCGTTTTCTGTTCCATTGGGTTTGTGGTCGGGTCCGATGCTTGCATCGGCGTAAAGTCTTTTCACAATACACGTGCTGTACAACAAGAGAGACCGTAATTGAGGCCCAAGGGCACCATCAGGGCCTTTTGTGAGGGCGATTCCGGACTTCAAATCATCCCGGCTACACCTCCTCGTTTGATTGAAGAGCATACTGTCACACCTTCAGCAAATTCTGAAGGAGATCCGTCTCTCCCAACCCTCGCAGATCCCCTTAACATCCCTTAACTGTTGAAACCCTCCGCTGGCATGGGATTTGTATGGCAGGACCCCAACCTCCTGGTCCGCTGTCTGAGCCACCGTTTGAACTCACTTCCAAGATCGCCGAGCAACTAGGCTGTCAATTGCACATGTCAGGCTCGGCAGGATTCCGATTGCCTGCCAGTCACAACATGGTAGTCTCAAATCTTAGCGGTCTAGTTGTCGGGATCCACACCAAAAACACTAGGTTTGAGGTGCCCGCAAAACGCTCAACCGTGCGTCGTAATTTATAAAATGGCCTAGTGATGCAGATCTTCCCCCTGTGCCCACCCATCACTCAGCTTCAAAAATACGAGAGCGCATGAGGCAGTTTCCTGACTGGTCATCGTCAGGTCAGGTGTCAAAGTCGATGTCCCCTGGTTATGTCGCAAGAAAGGAAGCGCGCTTTGTTCAACAAGGGGCCCGGAAAGTTGGCATTCACACCGCAATGCAGATTGCTTCCGTATCCTCCATCCTGTGCGCTCCTCTGGAGCGGTCCCCTTGGTTTTGCTCAACCTGCCTCCCAAGCTAACCCATCACCAAACTCCCCCAACACCCACCCCAAACCAATTAAAAGCCAACCCGGCAAGTGCATCCATAGGCCCAACCCTCAAAACCCCAGACCCAGTCTCTGGGGTCGAAGGGTTTACGGGTCATTCAGGATTGTTTGAGACTTCAGGGGAGGTAGGTAGGAGAGCTTAGCGAGTCCCAGGCTCGAAACGCAGCTGGTGGCGCTGCAGAAGAAGGAGGCCAAGCTGCTGATAGCAATGGTTCAGGATGTGAGCTGCGCCCTTCTTGAGATTTCGCCTGGAATTAGGAAGTAGGGCTTGCAGTGGGAATATTATACGTGAGGACCATAGAATATTGTTGCGGTTTTTGTTTGGCGATTGAGGAATAGGGCCTTTTGGGCTTCCACGACGTATGGATTCTTTGGTTGTCGAAGCATTCCCAAATCCCATATAGACGCTTTCTTCCTCTACAGTTGGCCGTGACAGGCATAAGAAAAAGGAAGTGGTCACTGGCTGTCATTCCCTCCTTAAGTATCACAAGCTGTCCTTGCATGATCTGAGAGGCTTGCGGTAGTTGGAACTGTCACCATGGGAACCCTTCTCATCAGACCATGTCATACCCAGTACTACAACGTGCTAGGCTGATACGCGTCCGCGTGTGCCATCCACGTCTTCACCCCCGACCCAAGCTCCAAAAGCCAAACCCCGTAATCTTAACCTCGGAGCCCTGAACCGGAGACCTCAAGTTTCTGAAAGAACCCTCCAAGCAAGTCCTACTGCCAGGCTGGTGCACGTGAAGCGGCTGTCGACTCGAGTTGACACCCGCTTGGACAAGAGGGGGTGGAGTATTTTTTTTAATCGTAATCATGGGGTTTGGCGTCTCGAATTTGGATGTTGGGCGTTGGTTTGGCGATTTTTGTTGGGGCTCAAGATACTTTCCTTCTGAAGAAGAGCAGGCTATCCTAGCTGTCTAGCTTTGACATACCTGCAGAATTCTTCAGTCCGATCACAAAACTCTGGCCTTTGGAAACCTTCCCTCCCTGCAGCTCATCGACTGTCTGCGGCATTGGCAGGCACTCCTAGAACCTACTTTAAATTACTACTAGTATTACTACTCTTA